ACGAGCAGCCGGCCCCCCCACCCTTCTGGTTACCCTCCCCAGGGATCTGCAGCGGCGTAAAGGCGAAGCCGTGAGGATTTGGCGGTGGCGTTCAGACCCTCTATGGCAACCTCTTCTCCTGCCGCCCACCACAGCCGCAGGCAGCGCGGCGAATGGGAACGCAGCCTGGCAAATCTGAGTCACGGCCTCCTCCGGGGTGAATTTGGATTTCTTTGGATCAAATCGTCTCCGTCTGGGCTGGCCAGACCCGGCCCCTCCGTTGCAACAGGCCACAAACACCTCTGACATCTTTTTGCAGGGAGGGGGTGCAGGGAGGAATGTGGTTATTGCAGGGAGGCAAACCAAGGTCCAGAGCACCCAAACCAAAACCCTGTTTGCCCCGGGTCGCTCACCAACGGTGGGAAATCAGGACCTCAAGTGCTCCAGCCCAGCTACCTCCTGGGGGACATGGGGCACAGAGCACTCCCAGCATCCATGGGGCCAGGTTTGGAGTGAGGGGGGTGTCCCCGCGACGAGCAGGGCTGGGAGAACTCACACAAGCAGGACCTTCCCTGAGCCACCTCCTCTTGCAACTCACTTGCAAAGAGTTGAGCTGGTCTCAGCTTCCAGGACATTAGCCCCAAAGCATCAGCAGAGCCAGGTACGGGGCCAGGCTTCCTGTGCCCTGGTTGTGCTGAGCTCACAGTAGCTCAGGCATGAACCAGACCCCAGTGGGAGACCATCCTTTAATGAGAGGAGGCAGAGGAGGAGGGAAGCATGCTCAAGGCCAAAATGAGCAGAGTGAGGGTAGGAATGAGTGCCCGGACTGACACGTTAACAGCCACACAGTGGGACTTCAGCTCTCAGACCAGGCAAACAGGATCAGGGACCAGTCCACACCAGTGGTACCAGCACAGGGAAGGATTTCGGAAACTGGAAGCTGAGAAGTAATTAAGATCTTGTTGGAAATAACCACAAAAGGGCGAACACAGATGAGCTATCGGGGTCTTTAACCCAGCTGAAAGAGGCTGGGCTCAGACAGGGGTGCGGGAGGCTGAGGATGCGAGCTGAAAACCTGACCCCATCTTCCCCCTCTGCGTGGGTGGCAGCACCCACGGCTGGGCACCCGCTCTGACAGCATTGCATCCGGGCTGCGGGACTAATCGCGTGTGGAACGAGCCCCAGCACGGAGCCTCATTGGCCTGGGCCGGACTGGTGAGCACTGCTTCCTCGGGGCCGCCAAGTCCTGTCAAGCTATGACTCATGTGCCACATTGTCACCGGCAAATCTCATTGTCCCTTTTCCCTTCTGTCTCCGAGTCTGAGCATCCGGGAGCTCATGCTCAGCCCTAAGGCTTTAACGCATATAACCAGAGCAAAATGCATTGCAGCAAGGACAAGGGAATGGCTCTTTCCTGTCCTGAGTGTCTTGGATCACGTCACATTCACCAGGGCCTAAAAACTAGGGGTGATGGGATAAAATTAGAGGTGGATCCATCCGTGGCAGGGAGATCAGCTGCCCTGGGTGGGTCACGGTGGCTTCCTTGAGCGAAGAGCACAGAAATGCCACGCCGGGGCTTGCCGGCTACAGACAGAAGGCACCGGTTTCTTTGGACACTCGAGATCTCAAAGCATCTCAGATCTCAGCATCAGAGTCATTGCAAGATAACCTCCGTCCCCACAAGCACACGTCCCACCCCTCCCATACCTAAATCTATCCATTCCAGTAGTCCAAGCTGGACTCTCCCCAAATTTCTGACTGCAAACGATTGGGATGGGGGTTACAGATCTTGTCACTCCCTTCCCAGCCTGTCTGGACCATGGGTATTCCCCACCCTGACAGCCCACTGGAAGAAGAGGAGCCATCTATTTTTTTTTTTTTTTTTTTGCTATTAAACCAGCAGTTGTTCCCTCCCTGCACACACAGGTATCACAGAGGCTTTCAGAAATCTTAACCAGAGTGACAGGCTAAGGTTGCTGTGAAATTAAAACCACAGCCGTACAGCAAACAGCACTGAATTTCAGGCTACGACTGTCCTGGGGCTGGAGCTCCATTTTGCCTTTGGGGAAAAGCATCCAGGGAGCAGCTGGAAGAAGGCGGATTGGGGAAGAGGATGAAGAAGCTGCTGAGCACAGCCCCACTACAGATTAAAACACTGGGATGAATAAGGAGGCAGCACGTTCCCAACTTTTACATCTCATCGCAAGCTCCAGGCTCACTTGGAGGGTCCGACACTGTCCAGGGCAGAAGGGGTTTGTGTATCTCAGCCTCTGAACACAAAACACCTTCAGCAGCAACTTAATCCAACTCACTGTGACATGGGGGACACACACGCACCTCTCCATCACCTCCCTCGCAGCTCGGAGAGCTGCATGCTTCCCACCTAGCAGGAGCTCAGACACACAAGCTAACAAGGTCACCCAGCCAGAGTTGCAGTGAGGCTGCAGAGACCAAGACATCTCACTTCTGGCAGGTGTTTAGACCCGATCGATGGATGGCAATTTGCCTCTTCGTTGACATAAGTATTTCCACTCCAGGAATGCTTTTAATTACTGTAGCTATCATGGATTTTTCATGGGACTGTTTGACTTTGGTCAAACCTTGGCACCAAAATCTTCCATCATCTCTCCAGCCCAGCTTTAAGACCAACATGCTACGTACAGTTAAAGCACCCGTTTGGTCCTTCCAAAACCAGAGTCCAGCTCAGGTCTCTCCAGCTCGCTCCCCATCCATCACAAATTAAACCCCACAGCACTGCTGCTGCTTTAAGATTTGTTCAGCTTCAGAGGTGCTTTTCTCTGCTGCATTACAAAGCCCTTCCCATCACCTGCAACTGGGGATTTAAGCATCTACCTCATGTGCACCTAATGAAAGGCGAGAGCATTATTGCCTTGAACTGCGTCCAACCATACACAAACACTCCAACATGCAGACAACCGCAGCAGAGAAAGGCAAACTGCAACCCCATGCATGGGAAGATTAGCACAAACATTAGATGTTTTAAAACGCACTCACCAGGCATCTCTTAAGAAAAACACCTACAACCCAGCTGCTGTCTGCTCAGGAGCAGCCAGCAGAGCCCCTCGCAGCTTCTGGCCTCTTAACCAGCAACGATTTACTGCTAATTTACACCTGAGCCCAGTTTTCTCCTCCAGCTTCAGCTCTGCTCCTTAAAGCAGCAGCTGTGAAGCCGCTTTTCATTTGCCTCCTAGCACAGGTGGAGGAACCAGAGCCAAACAGTGCAATGACTTCAACCCATCACTTCGTCCATCAGCCACAGCCGGTAGAGACCCAGGAGTCCTGCTTCCCCACCTCCCCACTACCCACAGTGAGACAATGAGGTCTGCGTTGGGCTCTTTCCATAATTTAACCATCAGAGCAGCATGCGGTGGAACGGCTCCAGGCTGGACACAATCCAGCAGTAATTGCAAGGCACGTGCAAGGGAGACTCAACTGACGGAATTGTGCTGGCTCTGGAGTGGGCCCAGAGCAGACACAGCCAAGGCCCGTGCGTGGTTTAATGAAACCACAGAGGTTCAGTGACCACCCCAGTGCCTCCATGTCTGCTGGAAGACCCTGTGCAAGTTACATTTCTTCCTCTGGACTTCAGTGTACCCTGTATAAACTTGGTAACCTTCACTGTTCTTCAGCATCTGGGGTTAATGTCAGGCTGAGAGCATCAACACCCCACTTCAGTGGGAGGACTGGGTGCTCAGCCTGGTGAGGATCAGCCCCCCACAACCACTTCGACCAAGGAGCAATCCTGGAAACTGTTCACAACACAGCAAGCCCCAAATCTCCTCTAACAGTCCTGAACTGACCCCAGGAAGGCTGGATTTGAGCAGGAACATCTATTCAAGGAGTAGCAGGAGACTCTACATCAGTGGCAAAAGCTAACAACAGTCTAAATGTTACTTTTATTACAGCCTCTGATAAAGTATAATTTTAGAGCAGTTGAAGTAAGTGCAGAGCTCTTCCAGTTTGTCTCGCAGATCCTTCAGTAGGTACTCATGTGCCAAAGGCAACACAAGCAGAGAAATAAAGCTCGTAAATCAGCTGTGCTATTTCCCCAACCTTCCACAAGCAGGCTCTGAATTTCTCCAGATCTCACTTACCAAACAACCCCATGACGACGAGAGGGGAAGCACAGCACCATTCTTTCCCTCTGGCCCACAAGGGTGAACAGAGATTGGAGCTAAAGGTCAGGTTTAGCCCTAGGATGTTAAAATAAAACAGAAATAAACCAGCAAAGAGTAAAACCAAGGCTGAAAGCAAGGCGGCTTCTCCTCTGCAGAGCACTGAAGAGCCACAGCAGCCTTCCAAGAGGAGTCACAACAGCCGAAAAAGCACAATGGTCCCCCATTCATAACCCCCTACAAAGCCACAAAACAACTCCAGGTGGCCAAATATCTGGAGGCACTTTGATTTTTTTTGTCTTTAAATCACCTGGATTTAAAGCTTCATATGTAGAAAGCCAACACCTTTCTCCCTATCTCCAATTGCAGGCTCTTCTGCCTTCCCATAGGGAGCTCTGCAGAAAGCCAAGCCCCCTCCTTCCTCACACCTTCCCAGCTGCTGGGGAAGGTGTGAAACTTTCCATCCACAGACTCTGCTTTTACACTTCCCCAATTATCGGTCTCGCTGGTGCAAAGACGCTGAATTCATTAGGAGAAGCAGGACAGTTCTGGCGACTCAGCCCCAGGAAGTGTGGAGACAACATGTGGACGAGATCTGCTCTACCTCCTCTCCCAGCTGGACAGCTTCACCCAAATTTTATTGCCCAGCCCTCCCAGTTAACAATATCCCCAGAACCACAGCTATAATGGCTTCCTGTGGCTGCAAGCAACATCAAAATGAGATCTCATTTCTAAAGCAAGTCCCTTCTCTGTGTGGAGAGGGACTAGGCAGGGACTTAGGAGAGCAGGTTTCACGGCCAAATACTCCTCCAAATGTCCTGCCCACTTACTTGTGCTCTCTGGGACAACAGCGTCCAAGGATGTGATGGACTTTAAGGCTTGATGGAGCCTATCGGCCACCAACAAACAGCCTGGATAAAGCAAGAGACTGGTAGCACCCACCCTAATTCAGCACCTCACCAAGACAGATACATGGGTGGCATTGGTATCAGCAGAGGCAGAGAGCTTTCACGTGCCGACGAACTCCATCACAGGTGTCCCCGTGGCTGCATGCCAAGGCAAGAGCAGTCAGCAGCTGATCAGCGTCTCAATCGCAAACAGGCAGAGCCTCATCCTGATCTCAGAGGGACAACCCCTGGTTCTTAAAAGACTTTATTTGTAAATGGACAATCACTGCTTTACATAGAAAAACAAATCCTGTTAAAAGTACCTTGAAAAATCTTCAAGGCCAAGGTAAATGGAAAGAGGAGGGGAAAAGTAACCAAAATGAACACTATAAAAAGAAATGGGGAAAAAGATGGGGAAAGGGAAAGATAGAGGGGGGAGCTGCGACAGGGCTGGACCCAACCACCACTCTTGGGTGCAGGTACGTTAGTCCAAGGGAAAAGGAAAGTTTGAGGGCAGAGAGAGAAGGATCCCCAGCAGGGAGGAGGTTTTGCCACTACCGTGTTTAGGGCAGGGGGCCCCTCAAGGGGCCACGAGGAGGCACCCCAGGGGGCCTCTGTGCAGGCCGGGGTGGCAGGGGGACTCTCTGATAGCCATACGGTGGGGGGCGAGGGGGACCATTGTACCCGTGAGGAGGCATCAGTGGAGGAGGGCCACGCATCCCGTGGTGCGGCATGGGGCCTGGGTGACCTGCGGGGACAGAGCACAGACATTAACAACCTCTGCGCAGAGAAGCGGCAACAGACAATCCCCCACCCTTGGGTGCCAGCTCTAGCGGGTGCCCATGGTTTGGGCCAACACTCTCCCTCGTTCCTCCCCCCTACCAGCAGGTCCTGGAGAAATGAGTCTCTCCTAGGACCCCACCACAGCTGGTGGACACGACAGGTCTCAGGAACCCTCCCTGCTGGCAAAGCCCAGTTGATATCCTGACGTGAGAGATGGCAGGGGGAAATCACCAGAAATCGCAGAGCCCCACGTCACGACGAACACGAGGAAAGCCCCAGGAGACCCTGGTTTAGCAGCTCGCAGCTGCCAGGTCTTGCTTCAAGACATCTCTCCGCAGGGAGGCCATGATATCACCTCCTCCCCGTCCCCGTTAAGCTAGGAACGAGGGAGGGCGGCAGGGCCGAAGCAAGTGCTAAACTCAACGGAGTGTGTACGATCGATAGAAAAGAACACATACCGCCTCTTGCAGGCACCCACTTACCCATGGGCGACCCGAAATGAGGTCCTCGGGGTGGCATACCCATGGGTGGGGGTCCAGGGTGTGGCATGCCAGGTGGGGGCCGAGGGGGAGGCTGGCCTCCGGAGCCTGGTGGTCCTGGGTGATGCTGGCCCATCCCAGGTGGCCCATGGTGCACTTGCATGGGAGGCATTCCTGAGGGAATAACGAGTCGAGGGACGTTCGCAACAAGGGCAGCCGCTTGGCACGGTGGCTCCGGGCCCCCACAGCCCAGAGGGGCACTAATTCCAGCAGTACAGTTACCTCAGGTACAGAAGCAAGGTCTGCAAAGGGGTTTCTGCTACCAAAAGGGAGGTTAATGAGGAGAAAGTGCAAAGTTCTCTGACAAGAGGCAACAGGAACAGGCTGCAGCATAGGAAATGCTGCTTGGATGTAAAGGGCAAGGGTGAGAAAGATGTGACAGCAAGCATGGTGCAGCCCTGGGACAGGGGCTTGGAGAGAAATCATCACCCTTGGAGATTTTGGACAAGCTCCCTGAGCAACCTGACTTTGAAGCTTGCCCTGCTCTGAGCAGGAGTGGCCTGGGTCCCTCCAAATCTACTTTTTTCTATTATTCACTTATTTTATCCCTTTAAAAAAACCAAACACACAGAGATTCTTTTCTCCTCATCAGAAACTCAAGAGCCCAGCATGGCTTCACAGGGTATGCGGTGCAGAAGCACTCAGTCAGGCTTTCCTTTGCTGTGTGTAAGTGGCTACTCTAACGCCTGAAAAGCCAGCTTGTAATCGGGGACAAGCAGCAGCCATCTGGTCACTCACACGGCCAGAGCCATGATCACACAAAGCACCCTAATCAGCCAGCGTGGGAGAGCATCTCAGTGCAGGGATCATTTTAGAGCAAGCAGGATTAAACAAAAACAAAACCAAAAAAAATTAAATTGCAAATTTCACTTAATTTTTGCATTTGAAACCAGAGCCTAGATGTATATGCTGCTCATTCCCCAGTACTACAGGGCTAAAAATGGAAGGAAATCAAAGAAACATTTTGTTCTCATGTCTTGAATTAGCTCCTGCCTGGCAGAGCTGCAGACTGTGCTAGGAAGGTTCACACTTAACGTATTAGTTTACACTAGAGAAAAATGACAAAGACTTGGAGTCTCATTAACATCCTCCCAGCCAGAACAGCACCCGAGACCTTAAAAGCTTGCGCCATGACAGACCCTGCCTTCCCGTGTCCCACACATTCACACCTTGAGGAAACTACTGTCTTGACCCAACTGGATGCCTCCCAGAAGGGCACTACTTCCTAAATCACCAAAGTGCTTCATCAATCCCACTGGGCCCCGCTCCAGGCTATTTTTTAACACATTTTAGAACATCCATGAAAGAAACCCAGAAACCAGGCGCAGCGCCGCTGATGTGACATACTCGTTCCTACGCAGACCCTCCTGTTTCTTCACCAGGCTGCCCTGTGCTGCAGAGAGCAACATCCTGGGGAAAGTTGCTGCGTTCAGTCCCCTACAGAGGATGGCAACAGTTTTCTCCCCATTTTACAGAAGGGGAACCTCAGGGAAGACAAAGGAGGGGGCGATTTACCCAAGCCCAGCCCCCCAAAGGAGAAGACAAGCTACGTTTCCTGAGCTCAATACCTGATTGCTGCTTACCTGGATGGTGCATCCCACCCGGAGGGAAGGGGTGCGGGTGAGGTGGGTGTCCCCCAGCAGGTGCAGCCCCGGAGGGGGGGCCAGGGGCACCCGCACCGGGCGGCATGGGTGGGGGTGGCATGGCAGGAGGCATGCCAGGAGGCATCGCGCCGGGGGGCGGCACCGGCGGGGGGAATGATCCTGGGGGCGGGAGGCCTGGGAAGAGAGACAGCAAGAATTTGGTTAAGTATAAAAAGTAAACAAACCAAAAGCATTTAAAAAAACCCAAAGACAACTCCCAGGCAATCAGGAAGGAGGGGAAAGCACACAGAGCCACAGGAACCATAAAAAAACAGCAGACAGAAGCAGGATCTTTTCAGCTCTGGGACACCGCAGGCTGAGCTGCCACGGGGAGGGAAGAGGACATCCTAAGGTCCTGCCTGTTCATGATCCTACAGCTCCGCTGAGGGTTTTGTGCCGACTGTCACCAAAGAACTCCCACGCAGTGTGGCACCGCTGCCCTGAGCCTCCCCACGTGACAAGGAGTGCCTCAACACGAGGCACAGCAGAATGCAGCCACCCCCAGGACCGGAGATAGATGGGCACAACAGCCTCCCGTCAACCAATGCGGCACAGAGATGGGCACTGCCACGATTCACCCACCTGGAGGAGTGACACCAGGTCCCAGGGTGGTAACAACAGGGGTAGGGACAGACGGAGGAGGAGGAGCATCGGCAAACAGCTGATGGGGCCGATCCGCCTGCGAGAGAGGGTTCTGGGCTGCTAGGAGACGCTCGGCGGCTGAGCCATGCCGCTCGCCTTTGGAATCTTTTTTGAAGGCGTAGGAAACGGTGATGGGCCTGTTGCAGAGGTACTGTCCGTTCATGGCCTCGATGGCAGCATCTGAGGCATCGAAGCTGGCAAAGTTGATGAAGGCGTAACCCTTCGAGTTGCCCGTGTCGGGGTCTCGCATGATCTTGGGCGTCTGCAGGATGACCCCGAAGGCACTGAAGGTGTCGTACAACAGCTTCTCATCGATTTCGGGGTCCAGGTTGCCAATGAAGATGTTGGCCCCCACGTCCAGGTTTTTGTTGTGGGCCGAGGCTTTGTTCACTCGGATTGGCTTCCCGTATAATTTGATCATGTTCATGATCTTAATGGCATAATCCGCATCCTCCTCGCTGAGGAACTCCACAAACCCATAGCCTGCAACGAGTCCCCAGATAGAGCTTTAGGAGAGGGCAGACCCATGGCCTCCCACAGCTCGTCCAACACCACTTGATTTAAAACCAGAGCACCCCAGGCTCCCCTCACAGGAAGGAAGATGATTTCCCCTAGGGATCATCCATCCCTCACCTCTCTTCCTGCAGTAATCTCTCTCTGGCTAACCCCAGCTGAAGTATTTTATTCAACGGGCAGCTTTTGAGAGAGAACAATAAATATCTCACCTTGGTGCTGGCCTGTGACTCGATCCTTGGGCATGTGAGTATTGACGACTGGTCCTGCTTGGAGAAAGAGCTCCCACAGCAGCGGCTCGCTGACTTTCTCGTCCAACCCCCCAACGTACACCGTTGCATCTTGAGCAGAGGGAAAAAGAAAAGCCGATTTAGACCCGTGAGCTCAGGAAGCTGGAAGTCTCGGCTGTGTGAGAACTTCAGGGCTTGACAGTGAAATCACTCAGGCCTGAGGCAGAGATCCCCCTTAAACTTTTAACCAGATCCCCCATAATTATGCCCTCAACCAGGGAGGCCCCCAAACCCTCCCCCCCACTTTTCTCTAGGGAGACCAGAACCCCTCCATTCCAGCTCCTGTGTGCCCAGGAAGCCTACTGCCCCCCCTTGTGCCCAATAAGGCAAGGACCCCCCCACCATCTGACACCAGCTGACACCCCCCCACCATCTCTCAGGAGACCAGGTCCTCTCCACAGCCCCCTTAGCCTCCAGCTCACCCTGCCCCCCCCCATTAGCACCCCAAGTCTCCAGGGAGCCCATGCTCCCCCCCCAAACCCCCAAACATCTCCAGATCACTCTGACCCCCCCACAAGGCACCCCATGTCCCCAGGGTCCACCCACAAAGGTCCCCAGGGACCCCCCATGTTCCCAGGGAGCCCAGGCCCCCACCCCAAACCATCTCCAGGGCGTCTGGGACCCAATCCCTCCGCCC